CCGCAGAGCGCAAGCTCAACTCCGGGCAGCCGGGGCCCCATGAAAGGCATAAGCATGCTGGAGTGGGGCAGAGGGGCCGCGGCTCCATGGCCAGCCCGGAGATGTTGGATGAGTGAGTGGGAGACAATTTGAAACGCTCTTCCTCCTTTTATTTAATTTACTATTAGTTTTTATTTTGGAGAGGTGTTTGGAGAAAAGGAAAAAAAAAGTCACACCAAGAAAAGAAAAAGAACTCTGCTCCCTCCTGATTTTTTTTTTTAATTCGGGTTCCCTTGCTTGTCTTGCTAAAGGGGTTCTCACCAGATGGGAAGGGGTGCAGATCAAGAGAGATTGGGGGCTGGAGGAAGAGGGGAGCATGGGGGAACCCCACCCCTCTCACCGCCTCACAGAGATCCACTCACTGAATCAACTGAGGTGCTTGTGCTTGGTAATTTGCAAGAGGGACTCTGAACTGTATGTTGTAATATAGTGTCAGTTTACAAGCCAAAAGCACTTCACTGAACACATCATCGGTCCCCCCCTTGGCCCCTTTTAAGAAAGAGACCTCTAGGGCAGAGCCGGAGTCCTTTTGTCTCCTCCTTTCAGTCAAGCTCCAGGAAGCATTCAGCAACCTGGCTCTCTGTAGGCTGCAAGTACTGTCACCTCAGGAAGAAAGGAATGTCTATAATGGAGCTAGAACTCAAAGACATTCTAGCCTCATTATTACCCAGTCTTCACAAGGAGCCAGGCCAAGAAAGGGCACCCTTCCCATTTTGCAGATGAGGCAACTGAGGAGTGAAAGAATAACTGACTAGGGTCGCACAGACAATGGAACAACAAGTTCAAGCTCTCTGTCTATTTCTTCTGAGAATTTAGTTTACTGGCCAGTTTGCATAACTGTGGATTCCTTTCATAGTCCAATCAAAAGTATTATAATTTTCCCCCAAGGAAAAGGCACATAATTTCCAATTCAGTATGGTAGCTTCTCAGACATCCTGAAGTTCTTCCCAGGAAAAACCCTCTCCCACCTCCCCCACAGCATTTCACTTCCCAGAGATTAGTGGGAGAGGGGTTCTCTGGAGGCATTCAGGGAAGGAGGATGGAGTGTAATCCAACAGGATCATGATTACAGCTGCTTGTCCCCAAGTAAAACAGATGGGGGTGTAGGGAAGGAAGGACAGACTGGGAGGGGGATAGGTGGAGATAGGCAGGATGTCTAGAAAGGGCAGCCCGCGCTCTTTTGCAGATTCTTGCTGAGGAGTTGAGGGAGTGCTGGAGAGGAAATGTTCTTGGGTCCATCCACCTGGAAGCCACCAGTCTAGCTCCTCCAGGAAGCTCTAGTAATCTGCTTTCCCTACTTCTGGGCCCCATGAAGTAGACACAGGGGGAAAGGCTAGCCCCATCTCAGCCAGAACATTCCCAGGGACTTGTCCTCTTTTTCTGTTCCAAGTCCCAGGTGTCAACTCCACTGTTCTAGGCTTCCCCAACCCCAATCCCATCTCCCCTCTTGAGTTCAATTGTCGCGGTTTATTGTTTTCTCACTATATAGTTTTTAGAGCTTGAACTAGTTCAAGGGCTGCTCAGCTAGTAGTTTACTTTCAGTTTAGGAAACCGTCTTTCCCTCTTCTGTTCTCTCCCTTCTCGCACTGTTCCGCTTCCCCTCAGTGTAGTTACCCAAAGGTAGCAAGTCTTTTTTTCTGGACTTTGTTAACATTAATTTTAAATGCGGGTTAATGATTTCATCTTGACCCGCATGCTTGGGCTTAAAAGCAATAAATAAAATAAAAGCTCAGTTTGCCAATCCCTGCACATACAATCTGCTCCGGTGGTGGAAGTATATAGTTTGCTTGCAACAGGTTTGTGGGGCAGAAACACCGAAATGCCTGTTTTTAAAGGTAGAAATGTAGATAGCACAAGGAGATTTGGAAAAAAAAACGAGAATGATTTGATAAGCAAACAAACAAAAAAAGTTTCATGTTATATTACAAGGGTGCCACTCCTAACTCCAAGTGGTAAAATCAGAGGTGGTGCAGGGAAGTAAACAAAACAAAAACCGAACAAACAAGGATGCACTGGCAAACCCACTGTGAGTCTTGCAACGCCAACTGGGGACTCCTCAGCAGAAGTTTCTGGGACTTCAGAGCAGAGGCCAAAGTAGGACCAAAGTGCTTAAGCCAATCCTTGACTCTCCCCTGGATCTCTGGGTGACCCAGGACTCATTGCTGAACTTAGGTTCATCACTGGAAGAACAGGGATAATAACACATTTTTGCTGTGGTCAAGAATTCACATGCTCCAGCAGAGGTTAAACAAACAAACAAACAAACAAACAAAAAACACCCTTTAAAGAGATACACAAAAGGTAAAACTCACTGGTGTTTATTAGGTGGTTCCAAGGAAAGGGCTGGAAGGTTCCTGTGACCTTTTGTCTCCTGTCCTAGCAGGCGTGCACTGCTCCCAAATTAGTCTCAGAGAGACTCCTAGAGAGATTGAAATATCTCAAGGAATAAGTCTCCCTGAGCATTGCCAGCAGCGCTGGGGAAAAGCACCAGCACAAATAGAAATCTAGTGCCTGGTGGCCAGGGAAGAACTTAACATCACCAAAGGCACAGGGGATACCTGCCTTTCCAACTGCCCGCATTAGTTTCAGTCTTTCCTAAACAGCCTTTGTTCCCATTTCTCTGAGCCTGGTTAACTTCTAACATTCTGATAGAATCATAGAAAAGTAATGTTAGAAGCAGTTCAGCAATTTACTTCACCCAACAAATATTTATTGTCAGTCTACTATGTATGTGCTCAGTACAAGGACATCGAATTTCTTAATCTGTTTCCTACACCGATCCTACTTGAGAGGGCTTGACTAAAGATGAAACGAGAAAAGCTTCTATGTGATTTTAAATATTTAGCTCAAAAATGGAATGCAGCATTGAAATAGTTTATTAATTCTTTCGATTTGTTGGAAATTTAATTTTGTTTTAGATATTTTTATGAAGGATTTTTTTTGAGAGAGATGGAAGAAAGTTTTTTTTTAAAATACATTTCTGCATAAAAAGGAATTCTTTTTTAAAAAGCTTTGTTTAAATGCATTCTTAGAGCGACTCTGCTGTACTTTATTTCTTAGAGGCGTGCATTTCCATTCTCTCCAAAATTAATTGTAATAGCTATTAAAAGCAGAAAAAAAACTTGTAGTTGAGTTGGCCACCTGCCTAACAAACTCTATGAAAGTTAATGAACTATTTTGCATTCCTGAAGACGAGCAGCGCTACCCACAAAACACCCACAAGTATTTGTACGTTTACTAGGCTCCAGGGTGCAAGATAACCGTTAATTTACTAGTGCAGGAGAAAAAAAAGGATGACGCTGTGCTCCCCATTTCAGTGGCTTTATCTCCGCGCCCAACTTTGGTCAGTGATTGAGTCGCAGAAATACTGGAGATGCTGATAATGCAGAGACCAACGCTAGCTTTTTCTATCTCTTATTTTTTTACCTTCTGTTGTGGACAACGCGATTCGTGACAGTGTGTCTCTGCCCATTTCCTAGTCGGTGAGATAAATGGCGATTTCTTCCCCGCAGGTGTCCGCACACTTCAGATTTAGCTTGCGGACCAGAGACCCGGCTGCATCGAAGGCCCGGCGGGCCCACTCTGGCTGAGTTAGGCAGGGAGGAGCGCCTCTACCGCTCGGAGGAGGAGGGCGCCGGGTCGGCGAGCCTTGACCAATCAGCTTGCACACCGCCTGACATCCGGCCAATCAGAGGGCTCGAAGCTCCGGGACCAGAGTGGATAATACAGGGAAGGGGAGCCAAGGCTGGAGACTGAAACGAGTGGCTCCGTGCAGAACGCAGCTGCTTGCGTCCGCTCCCAGATCCGGAGATCTGAGCCGAGCCGGGGCTGCCGACCTTTCCCCACCCAGCTTGGGTCAGAGGAAGCCGAAAGTGGTCTCAGCGAAGTGAAACGCCCCAGGGTGCAGAGGACCGAACACAAGTTCGCTGAGTTCGGGATGTGCTGGGCGAGGTTGCTGAGGACTTGACTCCCCTCATCCCCTTCTCATCTTTCATCCTTCCCCACTATCCAGTGGGCTCTGGGCCTCCAGCAATCAGCACATTCCCACCCCCGATTTCTTGGCAAGGGGTGCAACCCTGATTTCTCCTTGTATGCACATCCTGCAGCTTGAGAACCAGATCTCCAAGCTGGATATCTTTTGACTCGGCTGCTAACCCGGGCCTCAAAGTCTTGGTGAGTGCTGTGATGCCGCTTGGGGTGTCAGGGAGGGCTGAGGCATCTTTCCTTATCTTTGCTATTTTACTTGGATGCCTTGTTCTGAAGATATAGACCAAGCCCTATGCACACAGAACCCTGTGCGGTCCAAGTACTATTGATGCTAGAAGGCATCTGCATCTTTATTTCCCTTGTCTCTCTGGAGCTCTAATGACAGCATAATGCTGATTTTCAACTGAGTATTTGCGGGGTAGGGGAGTGATGAAAGGATCTCTTCAAGTCCACGGAGGAGTACTTGTGGTGTTGTAGGTTGATGAAAGACATTTGGGAAGCATGGAGTGGTAGATCTGAAGGGTCCTTTGTAATCAAAAGAAAACTAATTATTCCATCAATGTTCTTATATTCACCATGGCCATGCTTGTTGGGTATGGGAAAGCTTGACAAGTGGCCTAAATTGGCCTAGTTGGACACAATACATACGTGGTTGGAATCAGTGAATTATTCAGGGACTTACTTATCCAGAAAGTCATATTAAGCCAAAGAGGGTCACTGTGAAAGGTCAGGTGCTCACAGAGTACTTGGAATTAATAAAATATAATCCTTGCTGGTTGCAGATCCCTGGGACCCCTAGAGATAACAAGACAGACATGTGAGAGACATGTAGAGGACAGGGTACATTAAGGCGATAGGTCGGCAGACAAGAAACTGTAAACCTGAAACTCAGGAAAATCTCAGGGATGGTCCCTGATGGCGGCAGGTGGGTTTTTGGGCTTATTTGTGTCTCCCCAGAGTGTGCGCAGCTGAGCCAAGCGAGGCACCCGCGCGCAATGGCCGACCGGCAGGCAGGCCCAGGGGCCGGGGACTGGGAGATTGACGTGGAGAGCCTGGAGATGGAGGAGGACTGCTGCCGGGCACCGCCAACAACGCCGCCCGGGCCCAGCCCGTCACCCGCGGACGGGGATGGCGAGGACGACGAGGAAGATGATGAGGAGGACGACGACGCGGAAGAAGAGGGCGACGGCGAGGAGGCAGGAACGTCCCCGGGGGTGCCGGGCCAGTCGGAACTGCACCGGGGACTGCTGCCCCGGCCGCCCCCGGCGCCTCAGGCCCTTCCAGTCCCTGCCAGGGCAGTAGAACGCGGCGCGAACGCGGGCGGCAGTGTGGAACCGCGTAAGCTGAGCCGCACGCCCAAGTGCGCGCGCTGCCGAAATCACGGCGTGGTGTCCTGTCTCAAGGGCCACAAGCGATTCTGCCGCTGGCGAGATTGCCAGTGCGCCAACTGCCTGCTGGTGGTGGAGCGCCAGCGCGTCATGGCCGCCCAGGTGGCGCTCCGGAGGCAGCAGGCCACTGAGGTGCGTACCCACCAGACCCGGGGCGCGCTTCCCCTGTGCGTCTCGGGCCAAGATAAAAATCTTGTTCGAAAGGGACCCGACACTTGCTCGGTGTTGGCCCAGGGCATCGTGGCGCCAGGCTCTTCTGCGGAAGGATGATGGGGACAACTCTGCGCACATTGGTCTGTAGGGTTGGGAAGGAGGTAGGGATAGCCTCGGTCATCACTGCGGAACTTGGCCTAAAAGAAAATTTTTGTATTAAGAAGGAAGAAGACAGAGAGATAAATATAGACACCTTGAAAATAATTAGGCCCATTTGAATCATTATGAGAAAATCGTTTCATTTTTGTTTTTTACATTTTAAAGTTAGTTTTGGTGATGTTCTGGCGAGGGAGGGGGAAGAGAGTGGTTGTCAAACGGAACAATTCTTCGTGTACTCCTAGTGCGCATAGCCTAGAGGAATAATATACATAGCAAGCCGTGCAGGTAGTGCTTCCACTGTTAATTGGCTTTTGGAGAGAGCTTGCTTCCCGGGTTACAGAAGAGACGAAAAGTGCTTGGGAAGTTAGGTGCCCGCAGCAGCTACTGTTTATGCAAACTGCCAAAGAACCAGAGCAGCCTCCCACCACTGCGGCTCCGGTTTTGAGGACAGCCAGTGTTATCTTCAGGGTCCCTGCATTTGGAATGCTCAGCCTGAGCGAGGCCTTCCCCAGCTTTTTGACACCTCCTCACCCCCCCAGCCTGTGCAGGAAATCCAAACTACTATCCGCATGCTAGGCAAGCGTTCTACCGCTGTGCTACATCCTCAGCCCATAGGAGAAATTTATTTTACTTTTTTGGTGGAGAGGGACTGGCAAGTGGGACATCATACATACCAAAGCCAGTCATCCCTAAGGAAAGCCTCCAAGAGCTCACTCAGGGCCACCATGGAGTTCGGTCATTCCTGTGTTGGGCATGGTTCATCACAGGGCCCTCCATTCCTGTACTTCCCTGCCGCCCACTGGATTGGATGCGGGCTTCGAAGGGCCCGGAATCTCACTGACTTGATGGTGACTGAGGGCTGAGTGAGAGGGTACCCTTATCTTATCTCCTCAGCGGCCTCTAAAAGTTTTGGGAGCTTTCAAGCGCACCCCAGTTGCCCAGTGAACAAACTGGCATTTACAACCAGACTCTGGAAATTCTGTCTTTCCCCAGCACTACCCAGCACTCCACCCCTCCTTACCCTATTTCTCAGAGAAACTCATCCCGCATTATGCCCAATCCTGTCCCTGGGCCTACTGGGTGCGCAGAATACTCTTCAAGCAGGGCTCCTACTGTCTCTTCACTATGGATTTCACCTCCCCTCACTTCTGGTCACAGGTATTCTTTGGGGTGAGTCTGTGAATGACTCTGGTAGAGAAAGCCTGGAGTCCTGCTCACCAGTTGTCGGTTTCAGAGATAGCCTCCACCTCCTTGCCTAGGGGTGCTGATATTAATTTGTTTGGAATCTTTTTTTTTTTTTTTTACCATGGGATGACAAAATAAATATATTTAGGCTGGTAAGGGTTTCTAAATGCCTTTCTGATACCCCTTCCCTCTCCCTTCTCTTTCTCACAAAATCTTTCAGGATATTATTTTGTTTCTTGTGTTTACAGGACAAGAAGGGGCTTTCCGGGAAACAGAATAATTTTGAACGCAAAGCAGTGTACCAGAGGCAAGTTAGGGCACCTAGTTTGCTGGCCAAAAGCATTTTAGAAGGTAAAGTAATGCCAAATTATCCTTCAGCTTTTTAAACCAAGTTGAGTGACTCTCATTGCTCAGGCATATGACATATTTATTAACCTCTGCAGGAGCTATCTGAGAAGACACTTTTTATTAGTAAGTTTTCCTCTAGGAAGGAAACCGGGATACAGAAAAATAAATCTAGTGTACCTGCCAAGGTTTTTAGTCACCATCAGTTTAATAATCCTAATAATTTTGTCATCTGCTTAATAGTTAATGGTTAAGATAAAAGACATGAAATTGTAACAGTGTGAGAGGGATGTACAAAGACATACCACCAAGTGATCCTGGGGCAGATGTCCTGCAAAGAAAGAAATTCTCTCTCTTTTTTTCTCTGTGTGCACGTGTACACACACACACACACACACACACACACATACTTTCTTTAGTTGTAGCAGGAGCTAAATGTACAGAGTGAGTTTAACAGCTACCCATGGACAATAAGGACTTCTAGTCTGGGTCTCAATATCAGATTCCACCACTTTTCAATATACAATTTTCCTTTCTAGATATATTGGTAATTGTTGTTATTCCACACTTCATTTTCTTGTCTTTGATGGTCAAGATTGTAGAATCTGAAAAAGATTTTGAATCAAACAATTAGAGTAGAGGTTTAAACTAAGTAGAGTGAAATCTGTAACTCTTGTCAGGCTTTCATTTTGTCTAAAGCCTAACGATATGTTAATTAAAAAAATATTACTTGTTTTAAAAAAATTCTTTATTTGGATATGAAATTTATCTTTTGACATACTAAGCAATACCATGACTATCTTTCGCCATTTTCTATATATTTTCTTTAAATTTAACTAAATATTACCTTATATTTTGCTTCTTCATAAAATTCTCCTTGAAAAGTTGATTTGTTTTTCTTGAGGTAGACATTTGAGTTCTGCATTTTTTGTGTAACTTCTGAATTTGGTTGGTTCTGGATAAGTTTTAAAGTTTGTTCCTGTCTCACCCTGTGTTGTGCACTTCTGACCTTAGAGCGGGTTCTCATGAATTAAGTATGAATTTGGTAAACAGATGTATACCAACCATAGGGAGGAGCACATTGGTAAATTGAAATTTTGCCAAAGCAACTTGAGAAGTTTGAGGAATTACATGGAATAGTAAATTTAAGTAAATAACTTCCTGGCAAACACTTGGCATAGAAATGGAAACATTAATTTTCAAATTTTATTTTATTTGCAAATGAGTATGATGGGTTTGTCACTATGTAAACACTAATATCACAATGGATTCTTCAAACAAACTTGATAGTGGTGTCTGGGGATGATGAAATGCTCAAAATGTTTTATGCTATCAGGAATTCTATTTATGTTATACTAATCTTTGTTTTTGACTTTGTCGCTATTCACATAATGTGCAATAGCTTAATCTGTGTTCTAATGATAACTTGTTCACCTGTTTTGGTATCTGGCCAACCTTATGGAGCTTGGGAAAAATGCTTTAAACCTATTATTTTCAGTATAGCAGGGGATATTGCTCCCTCCCCCCCTCATTTTGTTTTGTTTTGCTTTATTTATACTCGTAGTCAGGGGAAGGCATGATTAAATTGTTCACTGCAAAGCGTGTTGGGCTAGTTAACAGCTCTTTTCAATTTTCTATGCTTCTCTGTTTCCTTAAGTCTTTTGTTTTCTTTTTCTCCTCACTAATGTCCTTTAACTTTCTTTCTTTCTCTTTTTTTCCTAGTTCTCCTTGGATTATTCTACAACTGTATCAATGTGTACATATGAGTCATCTTTAGAAAATAAAAGTGACATCAGCTCTAGGTATAGCTATCTTTTCTAATAGTGAAAAAAGATGACATGGAAAATAAAATACTGAAGCCAGATGGTCAGCTTTGTCTCTTATTATGCAGGGATCTGGGAAGAATATTAAAATCTCAGTTAATAATGTACACTTGTCAAAGAAAACAAACCTATACCAACAAAACAACAGTAATGAAAGATTGTAATATGAATATCCTTTTCCCAAAGAGACCCATTTAAAATTGAACCTATAGTTTTGCTTTCTGTATAAGAATATTAGTGACATAGAGATAGTTGTTCTGCTGGTTTGTGGTGGTTCTTTTGCCTTCTGGATTTCCAGAATTTTCTTTCCTAGTTGTTAATCTCTACCCTGTGCACTGTTTGCTTATTTTAGGCTATCGTCCCATAACAGCGGAGACCTACCTAGGAGGCACCCTACCTCTACCTCCCCCAGTTAGTGACAGGATGAGGAAAAGAAGGGCCTTTGCTGACAAAGAGTTGGAGAACATTATGCTGGAGAGAGAATATAAAGAGAGGGAGATGCTGGAAACTTCCCAAGCTGCTGCCTTGTTCCTGCCCAACCGCATGGTGCCTGGACCTGAATACAACTCCTACAAAAGTGCCTACAGCCCCACCCCAGGGGAACCGCCCAGCAAGGACTTCTGCAATTTTTTGCCCACCTGCCTTGATCTCACCATGCAGTATTCAGGGTCTGGGAATATGGAACTAATTTCTTCTAATGTTAGTGTGGCCACGACATATAGACAGTACCCCCTGTCCTCCCGATTTTTAGTTTGGCCCAAGTGTGGCCCCATTAGTGACACTCTCCTCTACCAGCAATGCCTGCTAAATGCTACCACCTCAGTTCAAGCCCTGAAACCTGGGGCCAGCTGGGACCTGAAGGGAGCACGGGTTCAGGATGGACTCAGTGCAGAACACGACATGATGCCACCCAAACTGGAGGGTTCCCTTGTGCTGCCACACACGCCCGAGGTCCAGACCTCTAGAAGTGACCTTCAGGGTCACCAGGTTGTCCCAGAGAGGTCTGCCTTCTCCCCACCCCAACGGAATTTCTCTCCCATTGTTGATGTGGACTCCCTGGCAGCTCAAGGGCACGTCTTAACCAAGATCAGCAAAGAAAACAGCAGGCACCCTCTGCCACTTAAACATAATCCATTCCATTCATTATTCCAGCAAACGCTTAATGACAAATCAGGTCCTGAGTTGAAAACACCATTTGTCAAAGAGGCCTTTGAAGAGACCCCAAAGAAACACAGAGAATGTTTGGTCAAGGAGAGCCAGAAGTACACATTTACAATAGATAGGTGTGCAAAGGACCTTTTTGTAGCTAAACAGGTTGGAACAAAACTCTCAGTGAATGAACCGCTGTCATTTTCTGTTGAGTCTATTCTTAAGAGGCCTTCGTCTGCCATCACTCATGTGTCTCAGTGAAAGGCTGCTTAAGTGGAAAGCTGGATTTTCTGCAATCTCAGTCCTTGCCATGTGCTTTTTTTTTTTTAAAGTTAAAATGTTTGTGTAAAGAAATTTCTAATGTAAGTGATGATGATTTCTAAAAATTCTATATATACATATGCATGTACCTTTTCTTACCACATAAATATATTTAAACTTAAAGATGGACATTGCTTAATGTGCAAATTGTAAAGTTCTGTGCTTTACACAGCATTTCATAAAGCAATAAAATTGACACTATCTTTTAAAAGACCCAATGTTTGCTGAAGCAAATAGCTGTTTCTGCCTAAATGAAAAAGCGACTGTTTATGAAATGTGTTCTTTATTTTTCTATGTTTCTATGTATTCTCCAGTGCTCTTACTGATCACTGGCCCCCCAGGAAAACTCTTACAATGCATTAGCTTTGCATTTTTTTTGTGTGTGTGTGCTGGTGGGGAAGGATCCTTGAGCATGTCAGACTAAAGTTCAGCTCATTGAACTTCATTTCGAAAACTAGCTTTGCATTTTGAAGGGCTTATAAGTTTAGCTGTATAAGACAGGACAAAATAAATTTAAGGAGAATGTTAGGGCTGTTTGCATTTTTTCATGTTCATAGAATAGTAATTTCATATAGTTAATTAATTTGAAGGAAAATCAAGTGTAACGTCTAATTTCTGTGACGATGTGGGTTCTTGGAATGGATTTCTTTTAACTGGGCCTTGGTTTCTCTGCTATGGCTGTGTGTGAGAGCCCTCAATCCTCCTTTTCAGGAAAGAAACATCTATTTGAACATTTCTGGTTCCTTGGAACAGTCTATGATTGCAGGTCACTAGGGGCCACAAGGCAGATTCTCTTGTTGGGTGCCATCAGTTCAGCCCATGGTGGTGCCAAACCTCTTCTGTGATAGTCTACTGTTTGAGAAAGGTTGGTGATAATGGGCATATAGAGTCAGGCTCAGGCACAACTCAGCTATTCCCTGGGTACCAGCTTTATGCCTTTGCATTGACACCAATGTCAAAGGATTTCGGTGTAGTTTTCTTTTGACATACAAACATTGTCTATTTCAGTTGCTTCAGCTGACAGTTGCTGAAGCCTGCAGATGTTTATCACAGCATGAGGGTGGCTTCTCAGTCTTACACTTTTTCTTCCCTGTTTTATGTTCCTTGTTACCCTCTTGTTTTTCTCAACAACATGTTAACTAATGTTACTCATTTTATCATGAGTGATGAAAGAAGAAAAGACATTTATAAGAGTATTAAATTCATCCTTTAAGATCTCACCTGCAGATCCTAAATCAAGTTCTAAGATATCTTAGTCATCTCAGTATACAAAGCAAAGAGCCAAATATCTCACCTTTATTGTTGCTACGAGGCAGGTCTGGGTAACAAGAACACTGAAGTTGAGGAGGGGTGGGCTGTGGAGTGTGCCAAGTGCTCAGCAGTTTAAAGATTTTATTTCTTGCTCTTGAAAACACAGAAAATTATTTAAATATGATTTTGCTACTGATGAGCTCACGTAAACCTCCAGGGGTTCTCTGACTTGTTGCTTAAAATTAGCATCAATTTCAAAAACAACAAACCAACCGTTAAGTTGATTCAGTCTGTACTTGTAAAATAATATGCAGTTTTGTTGAGTCAAATTTATTTATTTTTACTATTGCAAATGCCAGAATGAAGGGAACGTTGCCAGAGGAAAGAAAATGAAAGCAGACTGAGATTCCAATAACTGTTGAAGATTATCATTAAGTGGAAAAGTGTTTTCCAGCCAAGTATGCTCTGGTGTTAGAGAATCTAACTCCAATTTCCCCTCCTGGTCATCTCTGCTCTTCCTATATAGTCCCTCATTTTTCCACAAAAACTGGACATTTATTTTTTGTGTCAAATGTTAAATGTAAGCAGTATTGAATCACACTGATTCAGAGGGAATGAGGAGAAACACATTAGAATAAGACCACATTAAGGGCTGGGGTTGTGGCTCAGTGGTAGAGTGCTTGCCTCACATGTGTGAAGCACTGGGTTCAATTCTCAGCACCGCATATAAATAAATGAATAAAATAAAGGTCCGTCAACACTAAAAAATATTAAAAAAAGAAAAAAGAATAAGACCACATTAAAAAAATCTCAACAAGAAGTCCTTCTTAACCCCAAAATGGATTTTCTCTTTCTTACGCCATAGTCATATTTTTGAATATTCATATTTGACATTTTTTCCTTTTATATTTGATAAACATATTGGGGCTTCTTTTCTGCTCTGTCTCCATATCATTTTAATCCCATTAAGTGAATCCAGTTGGCTGTGGGTATTAGTGGTTTCTCTCACATTACTAGGGACCAGAATTGTATTGTTCTTGAATGTTTCTGAGGGTCAGTACTTTTCCTGGCACATTTATTGGCACACATGCATTAGTTCTGCTGTAATGATGAGTTCTTAGAATTTCAAACCTACCAAATCTACCATCAGCTGCTTAGTAAGAGCTTTGTACTTGGCTCTGCTTTTTAAAAATCATTTCTCTTCCATGAGAGTGACTCTAGTCTTCAAAGAACACTGTCATTGACATATTAAATCAAATCTGTGGTTCAGTTTAAGCATTTTCTGTGTTAAAGGCAAAAAGTGGATTCAGCTTTAATCATTTTTGAGAACATAAAAAATAGTAAAAATATGCACATTTTCTTCATCTTAACTCACAGTTAATACAGCTTTAATGACTTATTTTCCTTTCATTTCAACCCTCAAGAGTTATTTTCTTTTTGCTCTGTTTGCAGTTATCATAAGTTTGCAACAGTGCTTCTCAAACTTTAGTGGACAACTGAATCCCCTGGGAATCTTGATAAGATGCAGATTCGGATTCCATGGGTCTGGGTGGGCCTCAGGTTCTGCATTTCTAACAGACTCCTAGGTGCTGCTGCTGCTTGTCTTCAGACCATACTCTGAGTAGCAAATGTTTATATTTCTGTTATTTTAATGCACATTTAACAAATCTGCTTAGATTTCAGGTTCCCATATAATAGAATTAGCATGAATAATTTAATATATATGAATACTAAAAAAAAAAACAAAACACCACCTCATTTCCCTTTCTCCTAATCCTTTGGTGTCAAGTAGGACAAGACCTAGGCAAAGACATTCAGCACATATGCTTTGCTCCCCTTTTCTCCCCCAGAGAAGTTGTTTTCATTTGGTTAAAAAAATATACTATTTTTACTTGTGAAGTGATAAATAGATAAATACACATGACAAAAAACTTACCATCTTAACCATGTTTAAGTTCAGCATTATTAAATACATTTACATTGTTGTGCAGCTATCACATCCATCCATCCACAGAACTCTTTTATCTTATAAAGGGAAACTCTACCCATTAGCAACATCTGGCAACCACTGTTCTACTTTCTCTATGAATTTGACTACTCTAAGTACCTCATCTAAGTGGTTTCATGTAATTGTCTCTTCGATTCTAGCTTATTTTATTTATCACAGTGTTTTCAAGTTTTATTTTATCTTGTAGCATAGGTTCGAATTTCCTTTTTAAGGCTAAATAATATTCCATTACTGGTGTGCACACACATCCACTACATTTTGTTTGTCCATTTTTCTGTTAAAAGACACTTGGGTTGCTTCTAATTTTTGACTATTGTGAATAATGCTGCTGTGAAAATGGTTGTATTGGGCAATTTTCTGTTGATAAAAGAAACACCTAAGGCTCTGTAATGTATAAAGTAAAGAAGTTTAGTTAGCTCACACTTTGGGAGGCTGAAAGTCTAAGATTGGGCAGCCTTAATGCTTCAGCTTCTGGTGAGAGCCTTTTGTCTATTTCACAACATGGGGATGGCATCCTGATGAGATCCTGTGATAGGGAGAGAAGAGTCACACACCAAGAGGGATTCAGGGTCCAAGCTTACTCTTTTTATAACAACTTAGAATGACATTGATTCTTTCTAAAGGTGGTGCCTCCAATGACCCAACCAACTTCTGCTAGGCCCCACCTCTTAAGGTTTCTAACACCTCAGGACCACCACACTGGGGACCAATTTCCCAGCATATAAACTTCGGGGGACACACTCACACTGTGTTTAAACCGCAGCAGCATGCAAAGATCTCTTTCACCCAGTCCTCACTAACTACTTTACCTGCTTCTTGTGTTTAGGAACTGAGTTTTCTCAAGTATACTCTCTCTCTCTCTCCCCCAATCTGTCCCTCTTCCCCAGCATGTGGGACATGTCCGCTAAACACTGCCATTGCCCAGAGAGGCTCCAGTATCAGTTTTGTACCTTTTAATATGAGTTTAAGGGAGTCTGTACTTAACAGTTTAACTCTGATTGTGTATTGAAAGGCTGTGACCTGTATTAAGACATATCCCAGAATTTCTTCAGCAGTCTCAGAAGTGTTAAAGAGCAAGACAATGACTGAAGGTCAAGATAAAGAAATAAGGAGAATTCACAATTCCCTGTAGAATAACAAAGATATCACTTCATATCACAGCTGGGGTTTCAGCAGGGGCTAGAGTTATTACAAGCCCACCTGATTTTATTAATTTTAGTTAAATTTTCTTTGTTTCTATTCTAGGTCTTTAGGGGTAGACTCATTTTCATGAGATCCTGTGATAGGGAGAGAAGAGTCACACACCAAGAGGGATTCAGTAGATAACTTTGGGTCTGCTAGTTCTTGAGAAATATAAACTTGGGCCTGTGGCATCCACTTATTTTAATGATTATACTATGCTTTTATCATGCTCTGTGCCCTTAGTTCTTTTGGTTTCTAACCTGTTAGGTGTAAATCCATTTAGGGCATGCTGAACAGAGACACGTGGAAGTAGGTCAGCATCTGGTGGAATGGTAAATGCATAATAATAATTAACATGTGTTATAGCCTTCCAATTTACAAGGCACTTTCACATATTCTCTCTTATATTCCCCTCATAAATTCTATAAAAATTTGATAAATGGCCATATTAAGAGTTGAATCAGATTGGAGTTGTGGCTCAGTGGTAGAGTGTTTGCCTAGCACGTGTGAGGCACTGGATTTGATCCTCAGCACCACATAAGAATAAGTAAATAAAATAAAGGTATTGTTCCATCCACAACTAAAAAAATAAAAAAAAATTGAATCTAATGTACAATTATAATGCACTAATAAAAACATTAAAGAGTTGAATCTACATCTGTGTATTTGTGTGAACGTGTATGAGGATTTTTCCAGTTGCAACATAACTTGATATGGCTTAATCTATCTCTATATTTTGATGTGTAAATACTAAGTACATGTAATGCTTACATGAAA